ATGATAACAGGACATATGCAAATCTGTGATTGTACCATTCCCCACCCCACCCCCTTGCCCTTTCTGTTTCCCAAGCAGTTGTGTTTCTTTTCAATAAATGGATTTTTTGGCTTTGAAAACATTCTTTATTATTGCATAAAGTAAAAGATATCTTAGCCCAGGAAAGCAACAGGCACTGCAAGTCAGTGTAGCAAACACAGATTCCTACTAACACTGGAACCACTGCACTTCACTCCCGTGCAGGGCATCAGACATTACTGGTGGCTTTCAGCCTCAAATTGCTCCCTCAAGGCATCCCTAATCCTTGCAGCCCCGCGCTGGGCCCCTCTAATAGCCGTGCTCTCTGGCTATTCAAATTCAGCCTCCAGGTGTTGAAACTCCGAGGTCCATGCCTGAGCGAAGCTTTCACCCTTCCCTTCAAAAATGTTATGGAGGGTACAGCAAGCAGATATAACCACGGGGATGCTGTGTTCGGCCAAGTTCAGCTTCCCATACAGAGATCGCCAGTAACCCTTTAAACGGCCAAAAGCACACTCCACAGTCATTCTGCACCAGCTCAGCCTGTTGTTGAACTGCTCCTTGCTGCTGTCAAGGCTCCCTGCGTAGGGTTTCATGAACCACGGCATTAAAGGGTAAGCGGGGTCTCCAAGGATCACAATGGGCGTTTCAACTTCACCTATGGTGATCTTCTGGTCTGGGAAAAAAGTCCCGTGTTGAAGCTTCCTGAACAGGCCAGTGTTCCGAAAGATGCGTGCATCATGCACCTTTCCGGGCCAGCCTGCGTTAATGTCAATGAAACGCCCACAGTGACCCACAAGCGCCTGGAGAACCATAGAGAAATACCCCTTCCAATTAACATACTCAGAGGCTAGGTGGGCTGGTGTCAGAATTGGAATATGTGTCCCATCTATTGCCCCTCTGCAGTTAGGGAAACCCATTTGTGCAAAGCCAGCCACAATGTCATGCACGTTACCCAGAGTCACAGTGCTTCTGAGCAGGACGCGATTAATGGCTCTGCAAACTTGCATCAACACAATTCCAACGGTAGACTTTCCCCACTCCAAACTGGTTAGCGACCAAACGGTAGCTGTCTGGAGTTGCCAGCTTTCAGACTGCAATAGCCACCCACTTCTCCACCATCAGGGCAGCTCTAAATCTTGTGTCCTTGCGCTGCAGGGTGGGGGGCGAGCTCCTCACACAGTCCCATGAAAGTGGCTTTTCTCTCTGAAAGTTCTGCAGCCACTGCTTGTCATCCCAGACTTGTATGACGATATGATCCCACCACTAAGTGCTTGTTTCCCGAACCCAAGAGCGGCGTTCCACAGTGGTGAGCATGTCCGTAAATGCCACATGCAATCTCGTGTCGTATGCGTTATTCGAATCGATATCATCGTCGGAGTCCTCACTGTCAGTTTGGATCTTGAGTAACTCGACTGCCAAACGTGTCGTGCTGGCGAGACTCGTCAGCATATTCCTCAGCAGTTCGGGCTCCATTCCCGCAGACCGAAAGGAAGACAGAGCGTGCAACACAAAAAACGCCAAATGTTGACGGAAGCAGAGGGATTGCTGGGATGCGAACCGATGCATCACAGGGTGTTGGGACAGGACCCAGAATGCCCTGCACCCCACACCCCCTTCCCACAAGCCACAGCACCAGAATGGGAAGAGGTGCTCTGTGGGATAGCTGCCCATAATGCACCCGCTCCCAATGCCACTGCAAGTGCTGCAAATGTGGCCACGCCAGTGCGCTTGCAGCTGTCAGTGTGGACAGACTGCAGCGCTTTCCCTACTGCGCTCTCTGAAGGCTGGTTTAACTCAAAGCGCTCTACATCTGCAAGTGTAGCCATGCCCTAATACTAATCTAACACTAGGACCAGGTTTACACTATAAACTTACATTGGTATAACTACGTTGCTCAGAGCTGTGAAAAATCCACATCCCTGAGCGATGCAGTTATATCAGCCTAACCTCCAGTGTAGACAGCACTGTCAACAGGAGGGCTTCTCCCACTGGCATAGCTACCACTCTTGCAGAGGTGGATTAACTACGCTGACAGGAAACGCTCTCCCAATGGCATAGTAGCATCTTCACTGAAGCAGTACAGCAGCACAGCTGCACCAGTGCAGTTGCGCCTCTGCAGCGTTTTAAGTGTAGACCTGTCCTCAGGGTACTACTAAGTATCAACAACAAGGGAAAAACTAAACTAGTTGTGAGGTTAAGACCACACTGAGCTCTGACTCTAGCCACAGGTGGTAAGAAGGAACTGAGAGGAACTGGTGCTGCCTCATGTAGCATGGGAAGGGACTACGGCCATGAGGCATGAGCATCACCCCTCTACGGGTGCAGCTAGGCAAATTTCTCCAGATCCAGTGAGTGGAAAACATGGCTGCATCTACTTGAAGAAGAACCACTGCTCCTATAAATGTGAGGCAAGAATACAGCCTGTGGTGATAAAGGACATTTGAAAGAATAAGCTGGAATTACGGATGTCAATTAATCACTGTTAACTCAAGCGATTAACTCAAAACAAATTAACTTGAATAAAAAATTAATCAGGATTAATCACAGTTTGAATCGCACAGTTAAACACTAGAATACAAAGGTACAGTGATCACTATCATTTTTACAGTGCAAATATTTGTCATAAAAATGATATAAAATAAATAGTATTTTTGTATTCACCTCATACAAGTACTGTAATGCAAGCTCTTTGTCGTGAAAGTGCAATTTACAAATGTAGATATTTTTTGTGTTACCTAACTGCACTCAAAAACAAAACAATGTAAAACTTTAGAGCCTATAAGTCCACTCAGTCCTACTTTTTGTTCAGTCAATCACGAAGACAAACAAGTTTGTTTAAATTTACAGGAGATACCGCTGCCGCCTTCTTATTTACAATGTCACCTGAAAGTGAAAACAGGAGTTCCCATGGCACTTTTGTAGCCGGTGTTGCAAGTTATTTACATGCCAGATGTGCTAAACATTCGTATGCCCTTTCATGCTTCGGACATCATTCTAGAGGACATGCTTCCATGCAGATGGTGCTCGTAAAAAAAATAATGTGTTTATTAAATTTGTAACTGAATTCCCTGGGGGAGAATTGTATGTCTCCCATTCCATGGTTTTACCCGCATTCTGCCATATATTTCGTGTTATGGTAATCACAGATGATGACCCAGCATATGTTGTTCAATTTAAGAACACTTCAATTGCAGATTTGACAAAATGCAAAGAAGGTACCAATATAAGATTTCTAGAGATAGCTACAGCACTCAGGTTTAAGCATCTGAAGTGCCTCTCAAAATCTGAGAGGGATGAGGTGTGAAACATGGCATCAGAAATCTTAAAAGAGCAACACTACAATTCGATACTACAGAACCCGAACCACCGAAAAAGAAAATCAACCTTCTGTTGGTGGCATCTGACTCAGATGATGAATATGAACATGAGTCAGTCCACACTGCTTTGGATGCATACAAATGTTTAGCGTATCTGGCATGTAAATACTTTGCAATGCCAGCTACAACAGTGCCATGCAAACACCTGTTCTCCATTGCAGGTGACATTGTAGATAAGAAGCGGGCAGCATTACCTCCCGTAAATGTAAACAAACTTGTTTGTCATAGCAATTGGCTGAACAAGGAGGACTTAGTGGACTTGCAGGCTCTAAAGTTTTACACGGTTTTATTTTTGAGTGCAGTTATATAAAAAAAAAAAAAAACTACATTTGTAAGTTACACTTTCATGATAAAGAGCTTGCACTGCAGTACTTGTGTGAGGTGAACTGAAAAACACCGTCTTGTTTATTTTTTACAGTGCAAATATTTGTAATAAAAATAAAGTGAGAACTGTACACTTTGTATTGTGTGTTTTAATTGAAATCAATATATTTGAAAATGTAGAAAACATTCAAAAATATTTAAATAAATGGTATTTTATTATTGACGGTGTGATTAAAACTGCAATTAATCAGGATGATTTTTTAAATCTTGCAATTAATCGCAATTAATTTATTTAACTGTTTGACAGCCCTAGCTGGAATACTAAGTATTCACTGGTTTGCTTTAAAGCCTGCTTGCCTTCAGCAAAATGATACATGTTGTTATCCGAGAATTCTATTTCCATTTGGTTCCCCACATCTGAATTTCATTTCTATAAAGGACTCCACCAATAAGGGACTGCTGGGTTGCTGCTCTGCTCTTTGACTTCACTATGTAGCTCTTTAAATCAGAACACTTGAACTTCTTTTGCTGCCATGCAACAGCAACAATTGTGGCTTCAATAGCATACAGCATATTCTGAGTAATTGAAAAACTAACCTTTTTAAAGAATGTTACATACTCATATCTAGGAGAACATCCACATTGGTGGATCCTCTCACAATAGAACTTGGAGGTAGAATCAAATTCTCTTGTCTGCTCAGAGTTCCCCTCATATGGGCTAATGGACTTATTGGAGACAATGGTGAAAGAAGCGGGGGTGCAGTCTGAACTATGACATGGAGAAAGCACTAGCATCAACACAGTAATGACTAAAAGTGCAAACAGATTGCTGGAAAACAGTCTGCCAAATCTCTGGCAAGAAAGCTTTCTTTCTCACATAAGAGGAAACCACTAGTTTCCTAGATACATGTGCCTCCAAAGGAGGTGGTTGCTGCATAATGGGGCTGCTTCTAGAAGGCAAAATAGAAAGCAGCAAAGCTCTGATGGGATGTGGTGTAAGAGCATAGCAACAGACCAATTATCCATATTGTGGACCCACCCCCAAGAAGTGAAAAACATGCTAAATTCAAAGTGACTCTTGTGCAAACTGGACACCAAATCGCAATGATTCCCAAAGACAGTTACTTCACAGGAATATTTTTAACAAGCGTCATGAATTATTAATATTGACAAGATCACCACTAAATTCCAGTGATCCAGAATGCGTTCAGAAGAAAGAAGTTCAATGGAGATGTTGGCAAACCAGTTACAAAAAGGACTTTTGGGAAAAGAACATACCTCCACAGGGTAGTGTTTCTTATAATGGTGGGATTTCCTGTTTCGAAGAGCACAGTCACTAGAAGCACGTTCTACATTACGGCGTAAGGGATATCCAGATTCAGGTCCCTCCTCACTTGAAACTTCATCAGATACATTTGTTACTGTCCTGTGTGTATCCTAGACCAATTAACAATTTACTATTAGTAAATCACACTATTTTTTCATAATGGTCTTTTAATTTATCTTAAATACTGCAATCAATTTTCTCATCAATTCTTTTAATTAAAAAATATTTAATAATCCCCTTTTGCTGAGTAGAGCATAGAAAACAGTTTCCCTCTTTTAGGTTATTGACTACATGGAAAGGTGGTACTAGAAGTGATATACAATAGAAGATTATAACATACTAAAGTAGGTGATTAATCATTGCACAGTAGTCGTGTGTCAGGCTAATTTATACTATACTGCAGAATGGATTCAAGATATTCATGTTCCAAGTGATGTTTTAGGTGAAATCACAGCAACCCCAAATGGTGTATGACTCAAAAGAAAAGAAAGCAACATTCTATTCTTGGTTTTGTCCTCTCAAACACAGTAATTTACATTGACAGCTTTTTCCAATCTTAAAATTTAATTTATTTCTACCGCCTCTCCCGCCACACCTAAAGTGTAAGCCAGTAATCAACTATGAAATGCTTGGACTGTGAGCATATATCATTCCCTGGTTTCACGCTAATGTAGACGCAGCCCCCACAAAAGGAGAATGGTAGGAAGGACCAAGAAACTTTCAGTTTTCATTCTAAAGGGTTTCTTTTTTAGAAAAATATACTAGTTTCATTGTTGTTTTGTCATAAAGACCATTTGCCTACTCTCCTACAGATTAATGGCTGCATAAGTAATGTTAAGTACAACTGTTGCATTTGTTTGTATGGGATTACATGTTGCTCACCGGGTAATTGCGATTTCTCTGGTTGTGCATGTACCTTTTGGACTTTGAAGCAGTGACATGGTAGCATTGCACAGGGTACGATTAATTGGGATGAGCATGGGTGGCATGCTAAACTTATTGTTTATTTTGTCCACTGGATTGCAACTTTGGGTGGGTGGTCCTGAAATCAGGGTTTAGAATAATGTTGTGGCAATGACTGGGTCTCACAAATCTGCAAAAATTAGGATTTGCAGTAATGCCTTTTTTTTCCAGCAAATCAGGCCATCAGACCATTGTTTGTAGTGAAGGGGATTGGTTCAGGTGGTTTCCCCATCACCTGCAATGCACAGTCTTCGGCTAGGCCTGAGAATTAAACAGCTTTATTAAATGCACTGGGCTTATGGTCTGATTAGGTCTTCCATAGGTGCCGACTTCTGCTCCCACCGGTGAGTACTCGACCCCTCTCTACCCCCGGCCTCGCCCCGACTCCAACCCTGCCCCGTCCCCATTCCAACCCCTTCCCCAAATCCCTGCCCCAGCCCCGCCTCTTCCCCTGAGCGCACCACGCTCCCGCTCCTCACCCCACTCCTGGAGCTTGCTATGCCGCCAAAGGTGGGAAGCGCTGGGAGGTAGGCGGAGGAGTGGGGACGCAGCGCGCTCAGGGGAGGAGGTGGACGATATTAAACAGATTAGATTAGATATTAAACAGATAGCCATTACTATAATTTTAATGAATGAGTTATTACCTGCTCTTAAAATTGTTTGCTCATAAACCGTTTTCTGAATTTTTTTCTTGTTAGCTGCAAGAGTTCTGCTTTGAAGCAAAACATCAAGACTCCTTAATCAACAAAAGCTTTTAAAATAGTCAGACTTCAAAATGCTGAATTAGCAAGATTTAGCAACAAGTGTGTCAATAATATTTTCTGATTTCTTTCATAAATAAAGAAAAATACTTCTTTTTCTGATGTTAACAGGTATAATGGGAAATGCCACATAAGAAGTTTATATTTCCATAGAAATTAATTTACCTCAACAAGACTTTTTCATAGTTTATTCTAAATTTAGAGAGGTCTTTGTTTTTCCAAATAAATAGATTATATACATATATAATTATCCAGAAAACTGTTTATGCATGTATAAAAAGTGTTATGAGAGCTTGGAACTTCAAAAACGTGCTCACCATTTGACTGAGGAAAAGCAATATAAAGCACATTGAGGAAACTGATTTTTTCTAGAAACATTTTCACAAGTCTTATTTTGTCTTCAACATACTGTAAATGACGATGATGATGCCAGAGCAGATAGTGATAAATCAGTGAAAGCATCCTAAAATTTCTCAGTAATTACAAATTAAGTGTGCCAATCAGTAGAATGCATATCAAGGGACATGATCAAGGATAAGCATGAAACTCAAACTACCGTATACAAATATTCTAAATCTCACTTGCCCAAGTGTATCAAAACCTGAAGTAGGTGTACAGAAAGAGTGCATATGTTACACTTTCTATGGATCCTATCTATGGAAGATCCCAAAATGGGTCCCTCCTTTAAAAATGAATGAAGCCAGTGTCTCACTGAAACTTTCCTTAGGCAAAAATTCCTGTTTTACCACCATCATCACCTTCTAGGAGGTAGAATAATAGGCTGCTCCTCATTTGCTTCCCTTCGCTTTCCTTAAATGCTGCACTTCCAAATCTTCATGTACCAATAACGGTAGAGTTGTTTTGGAGGAGAATGAAGTAAGGTGAAATAGGAGAACTGAGAGCTACCAGACCTAACCAGCCAAGCTCCATGATGAGCAACACATCCTTCCTCCTCATTATGCTCTGCTTTCTGAAGACTATCTTTCTTCTCTCCCTCCCCTCTGCGCTCTGCATTTCAGAGTGCCTTTTCACTTCCATGGGGAAGGGCAGGAAAGAAAACACTTGCAGATTTCTGCACTTATCCACAAGAGAAGGGGAAGGAGAATCCATGAACACAGAGGATTGGCAGGGAAACCTTTGAAGGTGTGGGGAGTTGTTTGAATTTTGGAAGTCATCATTACTGTGAAATGTGTCCAACTGTAGCAGAGAAGCAGACCCATTCCAGAGGAAAAAAATCTAACAGAGGCAGGTGAGGCAGAAGCAAAGCCTTCTCATGAAGGCTAAAACAAATAAGAAATACAAGGACACATGGTGAGTCAAGTTAAAGAAAATCAGAGAACCTAAAAGTCAGTAAAATGAGGTTCCTGTGGTAGGAGTTGAGCCGTAGATACGCACTTGGCCAATCCTGGGTGACCAGTGCTACTGGGGTTCTCCCATTGTGTCTATGGCAAAATAGTTCTGAAGTAGCACTCGCATAAATTACCACAATTTAGATATAATAAAATATTTCTGAAAAGAGTATTTTTGCCCTTGGGATGGCCTAGGTTGTTCAATATGGGTGTGTAATTTCCCAACACATTTTGCCAGGGAAGGACGACTACAGACATCACTACAAAAAGGTTTCAAGTCTTTTTTGCAAAATTCAGTTGCTTGCAGTGCATTTTGTCTACCTGCAGATATTTTTCTTTTATTTCTTTTTATTAAAATATTGCCCTGAGATTTTGGTGGAGATTTCTTCTTGAAGGAAGAAAATATTGATGGGACAGTGAAAAGAAAATATAAGGAAAAATTTAAGAGCAAGAAACCCAGAACTAGATCTTGCACTTAGGCCCTTAGTATCCTAACACGAGCCCTATTAATTTTTTTTTAAGTTTAAAAAAAACACAGGGTCAAGATATAAATGGGAACCTATCCAAACTGCTGTGGCAATACGGTGTGCATATAATTGGACACACTATTGTTAGTTATGAAACAATGAACCATGCTTACTTTGTGAGGACTATGATTGTTGTATGTGTTTCTCACAGTTCCTGTGCTCCAACCTCCCTCTTCTGGCCTAATCACTTCACAGTGAGGCTCATGGGTCTGTACTCCATCTTCACTGCTTTTACCTGTCTTTTTCCCATCAAGGGAGACATAGCCATTATCAGTCTCTGTTGATTTATCTATTGAATTCTTTGCTTTCTTTGATCTACATTTAAAACAAAACAAAAACAAACATGCACATAAAATTACTGTACGACTGTTATTGTCTATGTCCTCTCTTACCCTTCTCCTCCAACTATTTTTGACTTCATTGTTGAGATGTATGAAAACTAGTAATCTAAATCTGATTCAGTAGTATCTGTGCTACTTTTCACCATTTAAAGCTTATCTGTTACAACCGTAGGAATATAGAATACCAAATGAAACATCCAGCACATGAAAGAATATTATATATTACAGTACTGAAAGAAGAGAGAAAGACCAAGAAAAGCTGTATTTTACCACATAAGGCTTTATAACAGCAACTTGACAAAGCCAACTGCAAGTTCTGAATGCAACACATTTCCCTGTTCACATTTTTATATCAAACAGAAACGTAAAGGTATGCCCAAATAGCTGTTAATTCTCAGGAATTTTTAACTGGTACTTATTGAAACTAAAATTTTATATTCCTTGCACACCCTTGCATGAAGCACGAATTAATCATATATTGAATTAAAATGAAAACCGCTATCCAAAAGTTTAAACTTTTTGGCCTAACTTCACTTTGCTTCATCAGCAATCTAAAAGTTTATGCTAATTAGGAGATTTTCAAATGCATAATCCAGGTTGTTGCAGTCTCCCATATTACCTGGCAACAGTATGACTATTAGTGTTAAAGTTCCTGGCTTAAGTCCTCCCCTTCCAAAGCACAAAAGAGTAGCACAAGTATATACAGCCTATTTCAAATGACACACTAAGTGGAGGCAGGAAGGAGGCAGGACAGAAAAAGAGAGAAACTAGAATAATTCTAGTTCTACAACCCTTAGAATAATCTTCCCTGTCCTGTGCCCCTCTCTTCCCATCCTACACGTCAACATCTCTGAGAAAGCAGCAGACATAACAACAAGTGGAAACTCTAAAGAAAGGCTTACAACAGTGGAGTCTGGATGACTGCACTTCCAAATTACAACTTGGTATCTACGGTGGCTTCCAACTGATGGTGGTGGTGAATGTGTGAAGGAAAAAGAGCAGGTGGCTAATTTACCAACTGATGAGGCAGATAGCTCAGACCTGCAAGCCCTTGAGGTTGACACACTTTGGACAAGTCTTATAGGCACTGTTGGATCAAAATCTTTACCCAGTGAGCAATAGAGATCTTGTAACAGGACAAGGTGGCACACAGCTATATGAAGTAGGTAAACAGCTGCATTTTAGATTTCTGGATTACAAGTGTATGTCCAGACCATGAAGCTTTCTTGTGGGAGTAGAGGGCTCTGGACACAAGGTAGGTAAAACATTAAGTTATCTGAGTTCTTTCATCTGTATATCCCCCTTATTGAGAGAGAAACTGGTGGTGCAACTGGACCACCACTATATCTCCCAGTATTTGGATCATACTATGGCTCCTCTCGAAGAACTCCCACTGTTTCAAGTAACCTTCATCTGAACTTTAAAAGTATGAAATAAATTTGAGGGGCCACACTGGGGAGGCAGAACACCCCTGCCCAAAATAGGTACATTAAAATTTTGCTTTGGTGCAGTTCTACAGTGTTGAAATTATTTACTTAATAGATGAAGAGTAGGCTAGAGAGATGGAAAGGAGATGCCTATGAAACCTATCATTTATGTTTATGGAAAATGGATGATTAAGCATAGGAAAGAAAGCAAATAAATAACCCTCTGGTGCTAGCTGGACTTGTTTGCAAGAGAATGCGCTTCAGGAAGTCCCAACAACCAACAATGAAGAGGCTAAATAAGATAAAGGAACAATAGTGACAAAATAGTCGCAATGAGAGGGAGGCAGAAGAAGCTCATTTTAATGCACTAAAACAATATTTTTGGTATCTTTTCTTCTTCATAGCTACAGTGGTTGAAAAGAAATGCAAATCTCATGAGACACATAGTTAGTAGAAATTCAGTATAATACAAGACAATTAAGTGCTCAATTCTGATCAAGTCTACCACAAACAATTTGCTACAATTAAACATTAAATAATATTCAGGTAATTCAATTCCTTAGAGCCCTTTTCTGTGTACAGTATATTAATAAAGAAGCAAAGCTCATTAAATGTCTTCTGGCAGACAGAGCATCAAAAGTATTAAATGAAATAAGTAGTAATGAAATATGAAAATTCAAAACCAGTTCTTTTAGACAGCGCACAGATTTAAAAAAATACAAAAGCATAACCAGTGAGACTCTGCTATTCCATGACTTATTGAACTGACGCATGAGGTACAGTTGTGATAATTCTTCCAACTTTGATTTGAAATGCATTCATAGGCCTGTAAAGTTCAAAAAGGTTCGGGTTCAACTAAACCTGGTTTTCCCCATGATTAACTTTCACTGCAAAGATCAGGCTAGACAGGTTTGAACATCCTGTAAACGTTTACAGGAACTGAAATTGGGATTAATGGACACACTGGAAAATATTATGCACTTGCTTCATGTGACCTTTCCCAGAAAAAACAGTTTGAACTTGAAAAGTACTGGGAAAGAGCAACCCCAACGTACTCCCCAAAAACCACATTATTTCATTTTTTCCCCCACTGCAATGTGCTTTAAAAATTTCACCTGAGGTGGGGAACATGTGTAACTCTCTATTAGAATGTTAATACATGTCTATTACAGATTACTATATGAAGTGTGAAAAATCTAAAGGAAATAAAGTGTATGTATAGGGGGATAACATGAACACTTGTAGGAACATGATGGTGTCTTGCGATTTACAGACATACCAAAAGACAGGACAGGCCAAGCAGTACTTGACATGGTCTTCTCTCTGGATTAGCTAGAGGAAAGTGTTAAGGAAGGTTTAAATAAGGTTTCTGGAAGATAGATTTTCATTATCATAAATTGGGGGAAGTAAGGAAGGAGAGACTAAAGAGCAAATCTTCTTTCTGTAAATGGAGAAATAGTCTGTCCCTTTACTTTCATCTGTGCTGACCTTAAAGATTCTCTCCTGACCCAATCCTAGAGTTGTTCAAAATTGAGAACTGAGGTGTTACATTTTGTATGTTCTTTGAAACAGATACTGACTTATTTATTATGAATGTGTACAGAGCTTAGCTCAATGGGACCCCAACCTGGTTGAGATTTCTAGGTAATATCAAAAATATAAATAATAAATTATACAATTTGTGCAAGGTTTCCCTCACCAAAATGATATTCAAGACCGGGTCAGAATTTCATAGATTCCTTCTTGTGCTGGATGAAAATCAAGTATTAAATGTTCTACAAGCTATTAATGACATTGGACTCTGCTATTCAGAAAGGATATGTTTCAAACACTTCCAAATTATCTAGGTCTGAATGTATGTATATATTTGATAAAAACTGTTTTCACTCTATCACGTATTTCAATTTATGATATACTCCAAGAACAATACATCCACTTCTGTAAATACGATCCACTGCTTCAATCAGCCATTATAATAATATACAAGAACATAATGAACTAGTAATGTGGGGAGAGTGCTGGGTGGGGAACCATGATTTCTGTTGTTACTGTGTAAATTTCAGCCTTTCTTGGAAGAATCACTGGGGCTCACTTCCTCCACACTCATCTCTCAAAGATTCTGCATTGTGATCTTCCTGCCTGAAAATGCTGGACTTCTAGAGCCTTTAAATACTGACATGCGCATTTGCCAGAGAAGAGAGACATTGCTAGAAATCAATAAGAGGCAATACATCCCTCCAAGAGGTGTGTATTCTGTCTCTTCAATGCTCTCAGCCCCTGGTATAAATACACTGCACAACTACTAGATTGGTGGCCAGCCCCACTTCTTGACCAAACTATATACATTTAATAGCGTTTCTGATACTTTGTTCTAAAAGTAGTATAGTTGTCATCTTTGGAAATTAAACTCTGATGCAAGACAAGACTGTTGGGCAACATATGTTAAACTGCTTAATTTTATTTCTTTCAAAATACTAACACAAAGAGATGAAGGTTTTAAAATGAAAAAAGGCATTGAAAAATCCCAGCTCCTAGGTGCCATTGTAACGCTGACAGACCCCGGTTGTCAGTGGGTGGGATTGAACCTGGGACCTCTGGAGCTTAGTGCATAAACCAAAAGCCTATGGCTGTTAACTAAGGCTGTAGAGCAGACTCATTTATCTCTCTCTCTAGGTGGTCTCAGTGCCACTAGATGGGACAGAACACTACACCCAGTAGGTGTGTGGGTTACACCATCATACACACATAACACTCATTATTATATACAATATTTTAGGTGTTCGGGGAAAAAAAACATGCAAAATATTTCCTGTATAGAGGAAAAAATGCAAGGGATTGATTGAACAGCTTATACACAATGAATCATGCAGGCGAATATCTGGGCAACGATGTTAACAATTCCTTTGGTACAGAAAAAAAGTCACAAATCAAATTCAGTTCAATTTGTTCCATACCAAAGGCTATGCTAGAAGCAGTATTTTCTGCACTGGTAGCTCCATAGCAGTAGTAGAGCAATAGCATAAAACTTCACCACAGATAGCTTCCATGATTCTCTGTGTTGACTGCAATTAGACCCTTCTGACTAAGGAAAATGGAAGTAATCATGTACAGCAAAATGTTGACTGTGCCTTCAACTACAATACTAAGTGCCTGTCTACATGGGAACATCCAGGAAAGTGAATCCGAATTAACGAACGGTGTGAATTTGAAGTGGCTTTGTTAAGCTGCATTAAATCCCTGTGTGGATACTATTATTCAGAATTAAAGTAGCCTTAATATGGTTTAGTTTAGTTCTCTTAGTGAATTAAGCTAAACTGAGTAAAAACCCACCTGAAACCAGTGAGTATGCACTCAGCACAGCTCAGCCCTGCCTCCACTACTGCTACCCATACAACTGCAGCTACACTGCTATTTACACTCATGCTAGATTGATGAAAGCAAATGCTAATGTGTACACAAGCAAGGGAATCACAGACCCCAGCTCATAGTGTAGACTAAGGGCAGGTCTTCACTACGGGGGGGGGGGGGGGGTGGATTTAAGATACGCAAATTCAGCTATGCGAATAGCATAGCTGAATTCAACGTATCGGAGCCAACTTACCCCGCTGTGAGGACGGCGGCAAAATCGACCTCCGCGGCTCCCCGTCGACGGCACTTACTCCCACCTCCGCTGGTGGAGTAAGAGCGTCGATTGTCGCGTCCCGACGAGACGCGATAATTCGATCCCCGAGAGATCGATTTCTACCCGCCGATTCAGGCGGGTAGTGTAGACCTAGCCAAAGACAACTTGAGCCTTCCTAATGACCTAGTAATAGTGCTATGCAATGTGCCATACGAGATGTAGGTTAGATTTGAGTTTGCAGTTTCTTCAGATGGGCTGTCGAAGAAGCTCTAGCCTTTCAGGGTGGGGTGTAGCAAGTTCTTCTCATTGCTTATAACCCTGAGATTTGATTAAATGATGTAAATAAGCTCTACAGTGAGCCACAGACAGCCCTGCTTAACTGTAAAGATTGTGTATGTGATGTTAACCCTTGAGAAAGTGAGGTAAAATTTTGGGGTGCCACAGCCTGATCCTGTGTGGTGCTAAGTGCAGTTGACTTCTATGAAAGCAGAAGATATTCAGCACTTTACACAATCAGCTCCAAATGCGCTGGAATAGACTGCATGAAGAACAATTCATTGAGATGTGAGCTTACTCAAAAAGATCACTCGTTTGATATTACTTGTACTTTTCAAAGCCAGTTTAGTTTACATAATGAAAAATGTAAATAAAATGTATATAAAATTAAAATGGGATAGAATTGCCAGTGCTTTAAAATATCTAAAAGCCTGCAGCTCAATATGATGCTCCTGATAATTAACTTTAGAACACCAAATAAACTTTATCAGAGTTTAAGAGCACAATCACAAATATAAAAGATGTTAGTGTAGTAATATTAAGACGAGACTTCCACGATAAAACATACACGTAGGAAACTGCAGTATCCCTTTTCTCAATTTTAGACCACCTTAGATTACATACAATATTTTGAACGGTTTCTAAATGCCTCCCAATTTTTAATGCAGCTGTATAGTGCACTTGCATTTGGATTCTAGAGAGCTATTAAATGTTTTTACGTGTTTTCCTGAGGACCATTGTTTGGATAGATTCATTGTTCACAAAAGAAATAGGCTACTGAAGGGCACAATAACTATACTTTCCCTCCAATCGTATAAAGGCTTAATTTAAAAAAAGAAGAAATATGCAAGTTGCAGCTCATTACCTTAAGTGTTCTATTGTCCTTGCTGAACAATAAAAGCTTATGGGTATTTGACACCTTGACACTTTTTTTTTTTTCGCGCGCAGGCATAGAGTTAGACCAAAGAAATATACACATTTGAATTTGTCATGCCATGGAATTCCATTGCCACCAGTAAGTTATTCTCTGACAGGATTTAAAAATAGAGAAACTGAAGTGTCTTATCTTTGATAGTCCTTATATCAGAGGTGGGCAAACTTTTTGGCCTGAGGGCCACATTGACGTTGCAAAACTGTATGGAGGGCTGGGAAGGCTGTGCCTCCGCAAACAGCCTGGCCCCCACCTCCATCTGCCCCCTCCCACTTCCCTCCCCCTGATTGCACCTCTCAGAACCCCCAACCCAACCAACCCCCCCTGCTCCTTGTCCCCTAACCGCCCCCTCTCAGGACCCCCCCTCCCCTAACCGCCCACTGGGACCTCACCCCCTATCCAACCCCCCTGCTCCCAGTCCCCTGACTGCCCCAACCCTTATCCACACTCCTGCTCCCTGACAGGCCCCCTGGGACCCCACACCTATTCAACCCCCCCGTTCCCCATCCCCTGACCCCAGCCACACCCCTGCCCCCTGACAGGCCCCCCTGGGACCCCACACTTATCCAAACCCCCCCCGTTCCCCACCCCCTGACCACCACCACCCCCCGAACCTCCACCCCATCCAACCACCCCTTGCTCCCTGACTGCCCCTTGGCCCCCAGCCCCTTATCCAACCCCCCGACCCCCTTACCATGCTGCTCAGAGCAGCATGTCTGGCAGCCGTGCTGCCCGACCGGAGCTACACACACTGCCGCGCTGCCCTGCAGGAGCTCGCAGCCGCACCACCCAAAGCACTGCCTGTGTGGCTGCGGGGGAGGGGGGACAGCAGGGGAGGGGCCGGGGGCTAGCGCGGGCCAGATATGGCCCGTGGGCTATAGTTTGCCCACCTCTGCCTTATATACTACTTCTCCCTCAAGCATCAAACACATTTGTAAAATTAAGCCATTAATTTTGTATGTCACATGGATTATTTCACTGGAATTTGCCAAAATAAAGACTAATGTCTACAGAAGCTCAAATAATTCAGAGTATGTTAGAAAAACAGAAAAATATTCTGTTCGGTAGAAAAAAACATTTGATAGAAATATAGATCAAATATTACTTTTTCAGAAAAGGGATAGTGCATATCTACGACATACATAGCCTTAAATAAATACAAACCCTGTTAAAAAGAAAGCAGCATGCCAGATATCTCTGAAGACGGCGCCAATACTGTAAGGGGTGCTTGTACCGTAGCTCTGCACTGTTCCCTCCTGTGTGTTATCTGTGGTACTAGAGCCATCTCCTTCCCTATGTACTTCCAAATGTGCTGCTTTCCTTAATTTCCTTCATCAGAAGAGATTAAAATTGGAAGGCATCTTTATAAATGTAATCCATTAGCTCTATAATGTGTTCAGCAATTTTTGTAAGCATGCAAAATAAGAAACTTTTTAAAACATTTTAATCTAGTAATTTTCCATTTTGTTTTAATAAATATTTTAAAACATTTAGCACATTAGAACTGTCCATTTTCATTATATAATTTCTTCTAGACAAAAATGTAAATTTACTAAACACTAAAGGCTCAAACCTGCAAAATGTACAGTTGTGAGTAGTCCCACCAATTTCAACAGGATTACTCATAGTAGTAAACCCTATTCATTTAAGTGTTGGCAGGATGGGGCCCATGTTTGTGGTTGCACTGTTTTTCTTTTAATTTGGGCCTCCAACAGGAAGATTATTGATCAGTATTGAGTACTGAATAATATAAGTTTACATTCATAGTTACAGAACAGTCTCTACCAATATTTAGTGACACACAATTTGAAGCAAAAAGGTTCAATGCATAGCCAAATAAAGGTGAAATCACAAGACTAAAGGTTTTAAATCACTTTTAAAGTTTAGTAAACATATACACAGTACTCAAATTTCTTACAAGACAATGCATATCATACTCTATTGTAGACAAAACCTTGCAAAATGGTTCAGAGATTGTATATTCCAAAATAATTTCATGTACTCATGATCCTAACTGATAGAAAACATTTTAGTATAGACTGTACCTTCTTCTTTTACCCCCTGTGCTAGGTGGTGGTTTAGGAGTTCGTGTTGAAACAATCTGACAATGCACAGTTCCAAGTAGCAACATTAGCCATATTGGCCCAATTACTTCAGTCAGAGGTATGTTATGTGGGCTTGCTGCTGTATAGAATAATACTATTGCGGCAACTGCAAAAAAGGAAAAAAAATATTCAATTCAATGTCTGAATTGTCTTGAAATGCTCTATTGGTCAACTAACATGGATATTTCACAAAATTAAAACTATTCACATCTCTAGAGATCCTTTTCCACATCCTAACTGCTCTTCACTTAACTCACTCAAGCCAAATATATCTCTGATACAACTTGCATTGCTAAATGACAGGTTGCAGATTCTACTCTAATCTTAGAAGTAGAACCACACCCATTCTGATATCTTAATTATATGCTGCAAATATAGATGTCATTTCTGACCCAGACACATGGAAACAATTTCCAGGTCTGGTGATCTCAGAGGATAATTGGAAGAAATCTTTAAATAGGATTACTAGAAGATTAAAAAATTACTAACAACTATAGGACAGTATCACTTATTCATACTGTCATATCTATTATAAATTTATCTTCATCTGTATGTAGACCACAGCATGGCATGTTTACATGTGTTTTGGAATTGTAATAAAATGGATCAATGTGTTTGTGAGATATAATAAAAAATGTCCCATAATATCAAACACCACGAGTCTTCTGAACTAGAATGTCAGCTTGTTTCATGGAAAGTGTCCTGGTGCAACTATTTCTTAGTTGGTCAGAAGAAACCTATATAAACTGAATATTCATGCATCAAGAAATGTGTCACCTGTGGAAACTTTTAAACTAGGAATTGTTCATGCTTCCAAGAAAATTCTTGAGGTGCATGAACTCATGGAATCCAACAGTTAGAACAAAGCTCATACATAATTTATTAAAACTGGCCTCTGTGCTGAAAGTTATGAACAAACTGATTTCTTTAGAAACAGCAAATATCAACTGAATAGGGGATGACACAGGATCAACCCTAATCATACAGCCACAGTGAACTTTTTTTTTCATTTTAAATCACATTTCCTAGTTGCTTGTCTTCTCGAGTTAAGTAAAACATATTGTACATCTACAGAGAAAGATTTCTCTAATTCTGCCAGAGTCCTATCCCCCACATTGTCAGATGCAATGAAAGCAGATCTGGATAGTACACTTTCCCTTGCTGCTATGACACAAGTAAGTGTCTGTAATTCCCTTTGGAAAGAAGGCACAAGTCCATGTAACACTGCTATCTTGGCCGTGCTGGGGCAATAAGTATCATCCTGGCTGATCATCTTCACAATCTTCCACATTAGAAAGAATGGCGGGAAAGCATACATCAGATCTGTACCCCAATTTAGGAGGACTGTATCTGTTAGAGAGTGAGCATCTGGCTCCTGCTCTTGAACAAAAAGAAGGGCACTTAGTGTTAAATCTTCTGGTAATTAGATCTTTATCTGAAGTACCAAAGTACCCCAAAGTAGCTATGAAGCCACGAAGTACCATTTGTGCACCTGGGAAAAGTCTCTGTGTAGCTGGTCCACTGACTCACTGAGAGACCCTGTCACATGCAGAGCTACTGTTCTATTGTCTGTGGCCACTTGAACCACTGATCTTTGCACTGGAGTACTGAATGATCTGACCAGAGAGAGGAATGATCTGAGTGCCAACAAACTGCTCTCAACTCCAGAACACTGATATGAAGGCAAGACTCCTGGTTATTCCAGAGACCTCTTGTTAAAAATCTCAAATTAGAGGCACGGGGCACAGATACACCTACAGTGGAGTACCCATAGAAAAACTTTTGGATGCATCTGTTCAGCCCTGGATCCAGGAAGGGACGAAGACCTCCATCTTTCTTTGGAATTAGGAAATAGTGGGAGTAAGAACCCCAATTTTTGAGATTTTCCTGAACCTCCTCTATTGCTCCCTCCATTAATAAAGTGGAGATTTCTATTCTTAACACCAACTTGTGAGAGGGATCCATGAAGAGAGAGGGAAGGGAGGTTGATCTGGAGGGAAGATTTCAAACTGTCCTTTTATAATAATCAAAACCCATCTGTCTACAGAGTCTTTTGCCATTTGCTGTAAACATGACAAAGAGTCTCCAATTGTTAGGGGAACTGAATTCAAGGTTGTTTTGTTGCTCTTGAACTTCATGCCACACCTGCACTCTAACTGTAGGTACAGAGAGGACAAATTCCTTTGTCTCATCATGGATTTAAAGGGACGTCTTTTATATTGCTACCGAGAAGCAGTGATTGCCATTGTTGCCGCTGGTAGTGTTGTCTGCCTTTGTTGAAATACAAAGATGAAGAATAAGGTGGACAATGTTGCCTTTGCTATTTGAAGGCAGGTATAGGAATTTTCCTCTAAAAAGGTTGCAAGAAACCCTGATGTATAGCTGTTGATCTTGTCTCTCATTTTCTCTAAGACTTCATTTGTTTTAGAACTAAAAAGTCCATCCCCTTCAAGTGCAAGGTCTTCAATCTTTGACCTTGTTTCAAAGATTCATTTTAAAGTAACAAGCACGATACCGTAGTAAATTCTTCTAAATTAAATGTGTGTGTATATATATATATAATTTTCAATACTTTAAAAAAGGAAGGTCCGTTTGTGGATATTTGTTGGGACACATATTTGCATGTTTTTACAGTATGTTAACATACTTTTAATCTGATTTTAGGTTGGTGAACATATTACATGAAAAAATACACCCAGCTATCCACAGACTGCATCTACCCAGAGTAAAATCTCCCCAGTGATTTAAAATATACCCAGAATGCACAGCTAATTATAGATCCTAAATGCAACATCAATTATGGATTTTAAATACACTTAGAAACAGGGTATATATAAAGACAAGCAAAAGGAAGTATTACTGGGAAGTGGAGCTAGAAGTTTGGACAGCAGGGAAAAATGGTGGAGAAAATAGTTGATCAGAAGAGCTACTGGAAGGGTGCTGACGAGGTTATTTTTCTCAGGGCTCAGAGTTCTGGCATTCCCTGGATGTTCAGAAAACTCTTAATATTCATATTCATCATAGAGAGGATGGAAGCACCGCACAGATTTCACTGTTCAAGTGGAAGGGGTGCTAAAGTGGTTTTAAGCCACCATTATGCCCTCCCAATCCTGGGTTGTTCCATGCCCCCCTATGTAATTTAGAAAGCCCTGAAGCCTCTCCCCGATGCCAACTGGCCACAATGCTGTGTGCTGCCATCTATGTTCTCTTCCCCAGCTTTTGCCAGGACTTACGAGGGGGTCCTTGGAAAGTAGCCTTTATCTGAAGTAAGCTTTGTAAGTTAAAGGTGCATTATTAGGACCGCTCAGCATTTTGAAAATACTGGATCTTGTCAGTACTAAGTGAACTTGACAAGATACAGTATTTTCAAGATTGTTAAAAACAAATGTTTGCTTTTATATTATCTTATTATCCAATTATACCTTGTAGAAGGTAAAGAACAAGCAGCCAGAAAAAGATGACATTTGATGTCACTTGTAACCACCACCTGTAGAAAAATGGAAAGAAAACTACTCGAACAATTCCTTTTCGGGTCAGAGAGGTCCAAGGACTTTCAGGTTTTGCTTTAGCAAAGGCAGATCCTAAAATTAAAGAAAACAATGTTATTCTTAAAAACACTTATCTAATAAAGTTCTGGTTACCATTTTAGTACAATATAATCACAATGCTGTCTTGTGTATTAATGCATCCATATGGTACATACATATATACACATGCACCACCCAGGTGGTATAAAGGCAACCTGCTGCAGGATTCAAAAGTTCAAATCCACCTCCAGTACCTCATAGAATAAAGCAATCAACCATTAAGGATTTTTGTTGAAAAGTGAAAGTTTATTTTTAACTGCATGATTTTATTTTGCTGTATTAGAATAAAGTTAGGTACTCTTTACTGTGTTATGCATAACTTCAGTTTTTCTGAGTTACCTAAAACACATTACAAATAGTCAAATGACCAGCAAATTAAGATTTACATAGAGTTGGCTAAAGATACATTTTATGGATACAACTGTTAAATACACTAGCAACCAATGGGGTCCAGAAGACAAGTGGATGCTGCTCATTCTTAACTGGCAAACACACACATTTGGAGACTTCCGGTAGTAAATGTGCTAGACTACACAGGCAACATAGGAATGCAATCTTCTCACCTATGCCAAAACAGGTGCTCCCAGTTGGGCTAATTAAGGGGGCAGGGCTGCACTTGCAGTTACAAAGGTCAGACAGAGAGCCAATGAGGCAGAAATGGCTGAGAGAGAGCTAGGAAGAGGAACTGGGAAGGGAAGAAGTGAGCCTAAAATGTAAACGGTCAGCTGCAGAACTGTTTGTTTAAGTTTAGATAATAAACCTGCCTAAGAGAGACTGTGGGTGTGGCAATGAGACCATAACAAGTTGGGGAGAAGCCCTCTGACATATGGAAGAGAAGGCTAGCACTGAGATTGGCCCCTGGTACAAGGGGAGAGCGAGGAGAATTACTGCTGCCAAGAAAAAAGGGAAAGCCCAAGCATTGACTGAGCCCACCTAGTTTGGCTGATTAAGGAAGATGGAGGAGATGATACATCTATTGGTTATAGCACAGCAACACCAGACAGCTGCATTACAGCAGCAACAGGAACAGCAAAGACACAGGCTATGCTCCTACAGTTGATGAACAAGCTAGAGAAGCAACAGAGGCACAACTTGCGGCTCAACAGCACTGGCTAGAGGCCCCCCCTTCCAGCAACAGGAATGGCTACAGAAGCAGTTAGGTCAAGAGACCCAGGGGAACCTGCTTGGTGATGGAGAGGGAAGCTCAGGTCAGCTAGTCCCTGGCCTGGTGAAGCTTGGGCCAGAGGACGACCCACAGGCCTTCCTTGGAGACAGTGGCAAGTGCAGCGGGCAGGAAGGAGTCAATTTACATAGCACTGTTCCTGATGGGCAAGGCAGAGGCAGCATACCAAGCAGTAAGTGACGAGCAGACAGGCTCCTATCCTGTGGTGAAGGCTGCCATCTTAGATAGACTAGGATGGACTTCAGAGGTGTATAGCACCGGTTTTGGGCTGAACCATTTCCATGGAGGCCATGACCACATGTAGCGGTCAAAGATTACAGGACCTCATGGCTTGGTGGCTATGCCCAGAGACCAGTTCAACAGAGAAAATGATGGACCAAATCATCCCAGAACAATTTTTAAAAGGTCCTACTCAAGGGAGCTGAGCTAGGCAATGCCAGCCTAACTCAGTGTGGGAGGAAGTCAAATGGGCAGAAGCCTTCTCTGTGGCTGAAGGAAATTAGCAGCCTGAATGATATGGCAGAGTAAGAGTGACCCAACAGGGTCACAAAATAGTCTCAGGAAAGCTCTCATATAGCCCAAAACAGGGGGCTGCACTTTTTGGTTTGTGGGTGGAAGATGTCTGGAAGGGGCCTCAAGTCAGAAAAAAAGACTACCTGTGAAAGAGGCAGGGTTTTGGTTTTTGTTTGTTTTGTTTTTTTAAGGGACAGGTATGTCACAGGGTGGCTGGCCCCTGTAACTGAAGTAGGTCCTGCTTCCCTGTGCCAGAACATGTGCTCCCAGCTGAGCCAATTAAGGAGGTGGGGCTGGGGCTATAAAGGCATTATGTGACCTGGGGCTATAAAGGGTAAGAGAAAGACCCAGGCCTGGTCTACACTACGGGATTAATTCGGATTTAGCAGCGTTAATCCGAATTAACCCTTCACCCGTCCACACTACAGAGCCAGTTAATTCGAATTAAAGGGCCCTTTAAATCGATTTCTGTACTCCACCTCGACGAACGGAGTAGAGCCTAAATCGATTTTGTTAATTCGAATTAGGGTTAGTGTGGCCGCACACCACCGAATTACTGTGTTTAAATTAATGGGGTAGTGTGGCCGCACACCACCGAATTAATGTGGTTAAAAACCGAATTAAGGTGCTTAGTGTGGCCGCGCACAATCGAATTTATACAACCTGTTTCCCAAATTCGAATTATCTAAATTCGGATTAATCCTGTAGTGTAGACATACCCCCAGTGAGGCAGAACTGACTGAGAGAAAGCTAGGAAGCGGCAGGACTGCCAGAGTTTGGGAGAAGAGACCGCAAGAGCCCAATATGTAAAGGGTGAGCTGAGGAACTTTTTTGTTTGTTTTAAGTTTGGACAATAAACCTGCCCAAAAGAACATAACAGTTAGTCTGTAACAAGCTGCAGAGAAGTCCTGCCTTGTTTCATAGGTCTACAGATGATAAAGCCTCCCAAGCATAACAGAGTAATACATTTTAGATGTTTCTAAAACTAGTCTATACTCCAACTTCTGAAGCAGTGGACATTTACAGATATTATGACCATAAATCCCATATCTTCTTATAGTTACAGTGCTTTTAAACCAATTTTTGTTCACAAAAACATTATGTATAAACTGTTACTTTAACACTTATGCCCCCCAGTCATGGACCAAGACCCTATTATACTGGTTGCTGTATACACATGGAACGAAAAGGTGAAAATTTAACTGATTCCTGTTCTTAATTACATCTCTACCCCAATATAACGCGACCCGATATAACACGAATTCGGATATAACGCGGTAAAGCAATGCTCCGGGGGGGGGGCAGGGCTGTGTACTCCGGTGGATCAAAGCAAGTTCGATATAACGTGTTTTCACCTATAACGCGGTAAGATTTTTTGGCTCCCGAAGACAGCGTTATATCGAGGTAAAGGTGTATAATGAATTTAATGCAAACCTATTTATAAAGGCATCTACTGAAAAGCATGAAGAGTTGTACAGTAAAACTAATCTAAAACGAAAATAAAAACACTGATCTCTAGACAGACAGACAGATCCAACCAAAGGATCTGGTACAGGGCAAAACCCACCACCATTCAGGCAAGTCACTAACAAATAAGAGATCAATTCCCAGTTAACACAACCCCTACGGATGAAAAGGAGGCAACAACATATAAGAGAACAGAAGAGAGGGATGATGGTTCTAAAAGGATAGGCCTGACAAAAATAAATGGGACCTGCACTGCATCAAAGACAGTCTAAGACTTGTTTCGAAGAGAGCTCCACAGCCTCTACTGAGACACTCCTGTCCCTGACCCAGTTGGAGAGTGAGCATGCCTTGCCTGATTTTAACTGTGGAGCAGAGGCATAAGGTCAGAGTACTGATTGCTTTAGTACTTAGGGACTAACCTATGAAGGGCTTTATACAATACTATGACCTTTAATTGTTTCCATTCTGCTCATAATCTATGGATATTTCCACAGTGCCTAACACAATGGGGTCCTGGTCCAAGACTAGTGCTCCTAGATGGAACAATAATACAAACAAAATAAATAAATAGCTCTGCAGTACTAGCCACTCATATTCCTGGGAAGAACTACTCCTCTGTAGATTGCACTTTCAAATACTTAACAAAATACCAGTAGATCTGGTCCTTCAGCTTTATATTGCCAAATAAACATTGCATTTCATGTTTCACTTAAAATAACTGCAGGGTATTATAAGCTAACAATAATTCTTAGGTCTCTGAGTTTATTCACCCAAGGATATGGTTATTACTGAGTTAGCAGAAAATATTCATGCTATACTGAAATGGTCTCCACCTTCTCATCCTTTCTTTGTTCTCAAAACCATTAGTCTTTTTTAAAACTGACTTGTGTTTATTTTTTGTTGCTCCTTTACTTTGTACTCCATTTTATCCTTTTAAAAAGTGAATGGGAGCAGCCCTCCATCAATTGAGCTAATCTGAAATGGAAACACAGGCACTTCTCAGGGTCACAGCTCAGTTTTCAAAACTCCTCAGAGCTCCTGTTGTGTCACGTAGGGATTGGCCTCGTTTTGCTGCCAGATCCTGATTTAAGAGGGAGTTGAAAGAGAGGAAGATAAAAAGAGGCATTGGTATGAAAAGAGGGGAAAAGGGAAGCTAAAAATACAGTAAAAGTTACCTATTGGGGTCGAGTGTAAACCTTCCCAGGGTCAAGGAGCAACAGAGATTCTGAAAGCAGAATGAGGCTGGTAAGTGACAGGGTGATATGCACATGTCTGTATATGCATTTAGATTAGGAGTTCCAAGGGCAGCAGCCAATCAGGACAAGGATTTGTACTCTGAGGCTAAGAGTTATTAGCCAATAAGTATGATCAGATACACCTGTTTTACAGGGAAGAAATAACTGTACAGCATCTACAAACCCCTTCTCAGACTATGCTCAAGCTTATTCCTTGAAGTGTCCTTATCAGGATTTCTTGAACTTTCCTCTGAAGTTTCTTAAAATGGACACTATCAGATACAAAACAATTAGCAATTGTTTCCTCTTTTCTTAAGACTATGGCTATAATAAATCTACATGATCAACTACATAAGGTAACTAAACTGATTTAATTTTAATTTAGACATAAGTAGGAGACAACTGTTTCCTGGTGTTTCTTTAGCCATAGAGTTTCTTCTCATTTTTATAGTTATACTCAACTCTTCTGCTGCAAGGCTATCAGGATAAATTCAATTATTTTTATAACTGTCCCCATAAGGTCAAATTTCTGACAAATTCAGCATTTACTAGCTCAAGCCTTACCTCTTACAAGATCGACATCTATGAGGTCTGGCTTCACATGTCCAGTTTTCTTTGGCTTGTTCCTCAGACCCTGTAATATGCAAAAAATATTAGAATCTAAACACCACAACCGAAGATATACATTAGCTAAAAATAAGAATGGGGGTCAGTAATTGTCTTACACTTTTTTTGAAAACATTTAAGAAAATGCCAAATTCACAATTTGAAATCTACAGTAACAAGTGTTCCAAAGAACAATGTACCTGGTATTAAATACAAACAATGTGTTAAAGTAAAGCCAAGACGGGGTAAAAAAAAATTTTCAACAAATAGGATAATGTAATGAAAACTAATCAATTACTGCCCCCTTAGGGTGAGATTTTCAGAAGTGCCTAAAAATTCTTATTGACTCTGATAATGCAACATACTATACACACATTTGCCAGAGTTAATAATATACTTGGATTGTGGTTTACTGTCATTTTCCTTATTTAAAACACTACACCCTTTTTCTCTTTAATCGCAATCTATATACACTATGTAGCTTTTAGTTCTCAAAGGAGCACCAGCTAAAACAACTGATGGCAAACAACGTTGTGCTCTGCAATCTGCTGGTCAACTAAATCTGCTAAATCCCAGTGCCACAAAGGGGTAATAAGTTTTCCTGACAGGCAGCAAGGATCTGCCATAAAAAGGCAGAGCTAGGCAAAGGAAAGTGGTCTTTTTGCTCCACCACTGAAAAACACATACCCCTTGTTAACTGGCTGCCCCACAGGAGAGTGTTCAGTTCAACACTTGCTTTTTATGTTACTAGGTGTAGTTATGTTGTCAAGCCTTAGAAAACTATGCATGTATTACGGTTAAGGCTCCGTGTTAGTAACGGAGGTCACGGAAATCACGGATTCCGTGACTTTCCATGACCTCCGTGATGTCTGCAGCAGGCAGGTGCAGCTGGACCGAGAGCCACCTGAGCAGCATGGGCAGCCCCTGGGCCAGCTGCACTGGCTGCTGCTTGGACAGTCTTGGGCCCGCCTGCCCACCAGCAGCAAGAGTTTGGGTGGGGGAGGACCTCAGGGCTGGGGATTGGGGTGCGGGGTGGTGCTTACCGGGGGGGGGGGGGGGGGGGGGGGGGGGGGGCCAGGGGGGGGGGGG